CAACTTAGCCCTCGAAAGTCAACTTTAAGTGATAACAATGTGAATGGATTGATGACACCAACGTTTTAGAAGCGTTACGTAGTCTATAGTCGTATGAAAGCATCTCGGAAATCTACATATGCATAACTGTTTAGTGTGAACTGATCGAAATCGTCTCACCCTATATTCACCTTTTCGCACGATATACCGGTCCATGTTCCCCCCATAGTAGAGCCCTCATTAATAATAACAGCGCACCATATGCCGCATACCTGACCACGTATATACCCCCGGCCTCCTGACCAGCAGACGACAACTACTTTTGCTATCGCCGTCACCAGCCCCGCCCCAGGGAACCGCCCATCGTAGAGTCCATCAGCAGCTAATGAGCTGAGCTCTAGCACAGAGCCTGGGTCCGGATCGCACAGATGCGACAAACGATCACGCGCGAGCATCTTACCGCGACTTTCTGGAGAGTACATGTATGCGATGTCAGTGAACTCGACTTACTTAATTTTTCTTTCACCGCCGGAGTAACACTCATAACAGCAGTTAACTTGTTTTCAAGTTCTCTGCTGAAGTCCTCCACAGTGGACATCTCGACAAAGGACAATGATAACAACAACTACAACGGCAATGCATAACAAAACTTGTTGTTATTTTCGTAGTCACTTTTTTGCTCCCAAGTAACTATGCTTCATATGCCAATAATAATAATATCAATTGCTTTATATGCCAATTAGAAATTCGGATTCATGCGCCACGTTTGTACTAACACGTACATGTAAGGTACGACGTGTTGTACATCCTATGATTAGTTGAATAGTAAACGACCCCTTATGAAGTCCCAAACTCCAAAATTGTGTGCCAGCCATAGTCGATCTACATTGATAGTTTCCATACACTCGGAAATCATTTTCTCATTGACATCACATTCTAAGATCCATGTCGCTGTCTATGATGCATCGGATTGTCAATGGACGGGCGCCAGCCACCCTATATATGGCTTTCTCCATATCGTCATATCTCGTCGAGTACGGAATTGATTCCACTTCAGAATGGCACCTGAGTTTGTCTGGCATTCACATGCGAGGATCCACTTATGTCGATGAGATTGAACGAGCTAGGGAATCGACAAGCACGCCCAGGAAAAATCCACGGCTTACAAGGCGGAATAATTCACCCACTTAGAAAAGTTCAGAAATGGTTTTCATATACATTTTCGAGGGTGTCACTTTTTGTGTTCATTGAGAATCAACAAGTTTACAGTCCCAAACCTAATTACTAATCACCTATCGATCACTTAAATTCGCCAGGCTATTTCCCTCAACCGCTGAAACGATCTAACACAGCTTGGACTATGGCGATTTATGAAGAGAGCACGAGGGAAATGAAGTCGAGGCAGCCTCATCCGTAGTCTATGCTGACCAGGTTGTTACGTACTGACCGCAAGCGATAAATCGATCATTTGGGCGCGCGCTGTAACGTTTGCGCGCACTGAAAATAGTAACTTCCTATAGTGAATGATACTCCTCGGTGCAACATTCTACACTGTAGCGTCTCTGCTGCTCTTCCGTCTGGTCTTGGGCCGTCATCTACCCAGTGTTGGAGCAACAACCCCTACGTTCCTTACTATAGATGAGTACGACGAACTATTGCAGAGTCAAGGTTTGCTGGACGTAACAGACACGGGCGACGATGTCGAATCGAGATATGACATCGTAGAAGAGATGGGTGACGAAGTCGACTCGATATACGATGCTGGTGTCACCGCTGATGTCCCTGTCGATGTTTACTGCAACTTCCACGATGACAATAACGGCTTATGTGTCTCCAAAGAACTGGGAGGTGACTTTACTGACATTTTCATGTACAACTCGACCGGCTCAAGTGAGAGTGTGATTACCCGAAGTTGCGAAGTGGCAACCTATCCGTCTATCGCCACCCAGGTCCGCACGAACAAGATGAAGAGTCCACACTCAGCCAGTGCTCTAGACAAGCTCAAGAACAAGCTCGGCAAGGCGGTCGATAAGATTCGTTTCAGCGTTGTTGAGGCTCCCCATGATATCCATCTCATAGTGCTGTCTTGTGATATCGATCAGCCTACCATCGATTTCACTACTTCTATTCTCTACCAAAGCGATACTCCCAAAGACCGTCGTCCGATTTCCTTCGACCTTGTTTTCAGAGGTACGGTTGAGGACCAGCAAAGGAAGTACACTTTCGAGAGAATCCACGCCCGAGACTTCCCGTATCAAGAGCACACCTCCTACAAGAGTACTGATCCGAGATATCTAGCACGCTTTTCATCGCGTGAATCAATGCGTCGGAAACGTTCTTGGTACAATTTTTTCGATGGCGACAAACGAATAACAATGAAGGTCGCCTCGAAGGTCTCTACTGCAACCGAGCACTACACTTCGTATTCTTGGAACTCCTCAGAGTACGGCCGCGGCACTGCTTTTACGTTCGCTCTACCTTCATATTCGAGGAAGAGACTCTCTGAGAAGAAATTCCTGAGAGCTATGGCGGCATACTATCGTGGAAAGTGGACTGTCCTGCGTTCATATTGATGTTTATGATGTTCATGATGTGTGAGTCCAAGTTGTTGATGATTTGTGGACTGGGTTGAAAGTGAACTTTTCGGTTATGAAAACGATGAGGGTAATCCAACATCGAGATAGTTCAGGCGCACTATATAGATCTCTTCAAGTTCAGGAGAGTATCAATGCTAGTGAACTTTGCCTCATAGGCAGTTTCCGTTAATATCTCTATCACATCTTCGGGACACTTACTGATACGGATGCGCTCCATACAACCCATCAGTGATTCTCGTTTCAACTGCCAGCGTTTGCTCGAAGCAATGAGCTCAACATAAAGAAGGCGTCGCATCATGCGACGCCAGGCGTCGCATGATAGTACTATGAGTAGTACTACTACTGAGACTAATTAGTCTCAGTACCGTCCGAGAGTTCAGCGATCTTCTCGATGATCTTTTTCTCACGAGGACTCGACTCCATGGTTGGGGCTGTTCTTTGACTTTGCCAGGGAGACTGACATATTCACGTAGAAGTAGGATGGGATTGTACTTATGTGGGCGCTCGGCCGTACTCAAGATAACCATATCATCTCTAGCTTGCTTTACCATGCGACGGCAACCCTCAATGAACTTCGAGAAGGCATCAGCAATCTCACTCGGAGATGACTTATTGTTGACATCCTGCCAAGCTAACAAACAAGAGTTATTTGGCAGGTCAGAGTTCTGGTGATCCTTCAGATCCTTGAGAGCACCATTGGCGACCTGGTCACTGATGGCCCTCGGAGCGACCAGGCACAGAGCCAACAGTTGTAAAGGAGCAGGATCAAGTTGACAATTTGTCGTGGCCTGAGAAATCTCATCCCACACCCTTGGGTAATCCCATGAACGAGGCTTCCCACGTTCAACCATAGTGTAGTCATGGCCATCAGGGTGGGTTTGTACATTCCAAGATCGAGCCCAAGCAAATACTGAAGAGCCAAGATCTTTGCCCTTAGGGCATTTGAAAGCCATACATTTATATATGGGGTTCCCCATATTCACACCCAGGACCCTTTGAGGCGTGCCAACAGGGTTCCTACCAGTATAATCGATATCACCAGAAGCTCGAGTAACCATCTGCGCAGCAGCACGAATATTCTTCAGAAAGCAAGGTCGTCACCATGAGTGCCAGTAT